GAATAAAAAAAACTAACTTATGTTTCTCTCTCCTCTCCCTGCTTTTCCCTCCCCAACCAACACTCTCAGATTATCTCTTAGTTATAAAAGAAATAAAAACTACCTCTGAATTTTTACTTTTTAAGTTTTTATTTCAACTTCAAATAGCTTTTAAGCCAAAAAAATGGCCAAGCCAGATAGATCTTGATCATGAATCAAATTCAACTGGTTATCAGAATGTAAAAAGTAAAATATTATTTTTCCTCCTATAAAGAAAAGCTAGTGTATACCGTTGTGCTAGGCTAATGTGATAAATGGTCTGATTTTAGCCCTTTTAACATTCTAATCCCCTTGAAATTTTCTTTTATACCAGAGATACAAGGCATCAGGGCAGGACACCATTGTTTTGGCTGGAGCTGAATATGGTAGTGGAAGTTCCAGAGATTGGGCCGCCAAGGGTCCCATGCTATTGGTGAGTCCTATATAATCCGTGATTTGGTTTTCTTGACAGGTTAAGACTCATTTCTGACGTGCTTGATGATGTTTACATTTTTCTGACAGGGTGTCAAAGCAGTGATAGCCAAAAGTTTTGAGAGAATTCATCGTAGTAATTTGGTAGGAATGGGTATTATTCCTCTCTGCTTTAAATCTGGTGAGGACGCTGACACATTGGGATTGACTGGTCACGAACGTTACACTATTGACCTCCCAAGTAACATCAGCGAAATAAGGCCTGGCCAAGATGTCACTGTGACAACCAATACTGGAAAATCTTTCACCTGCACAGTTCGCTTTGACACTGAGGTAATTTAAGATATTCCATGATTCATGTATTTAATGCTGTCCGTGTTCCATGTTTGTTTGTCTGGTTATTGTTGGGGTTTGGCGCTTCGAAATTTTGCCTCCAAACATTTTATCGTCCTTGGATTATTGTGTAACACGCTTGTATTTTCAGGTGGAGCTTGCTTACTTTAACCATGGAGGCATACTTCCATATGTCATCAGGAACCTCACCAAGCAGTGAAGTCATCGTTGAGGGGAAATGTTAAATGCTGTTGCCACTGCGTGTACACTTTTCGAGTGGTAATAAAATGTGAGAAATTAGAATAAATTCAATAAATAGGAAAGACCCCTTCTAAAGAAGGCAATTTTTTGACACTTCCAGGTGTTTATATTAGGCCTGTAAACATCCAGTGCATTGATTCTCGATTTTTGATGTCTGTGCGTTGTGTGCCCATTTGAACAATGGGGACAATTGTATTTTATATAAGCTGATTTCATCCGATGGCAGTGAATATTCTTTTAATTTAAATATTCCAGTTCATTTTCTTACAACTGTAGTGAATTTATCGTACCGATATTTTTTGGGTGTAAATTTTATATTAATTTCTAATAATTTTATTTTGACCAAATATAATTACGTACCAAAAGAGCAATTGTCCTTGGAATTGCCTGTGAAGTTGAACATGAATCAAGGTGGAGATCATTGAGGTTATCAGCCCTAATAACAATGATTTGCTCGAAAAGACCAGGAAGAAAGATTTGCAACTTGTTATGCCAAAATATAAAATTGTTAATTCGGAATGGAAAATAAAGAAAGAATTTATGTAGGATGTTGCTTTCTGATGAACGGCTGAGAATAGCAGTTAGAAATATCAATTTTATATATACTTATGAAGATAAAATGAACTTTTAACAAAGCCTGACAAAGGATTTTTACGCAAGTTGATTAGGATTTATTTTTGATTGATTGGAAAATGATTTATTGGAAGAGTTATAAATTTAATTTAGAAATCTAATTTTTAAATTATTTAACTTTTAGCTGTTGGGAAATATTATTGGTGTATATTAAAGAGATTATAACTTTTTTTTTTGGTTTAAGTGCAAGTATTGAATGACTATTAATTGTTGTAAATAAAGTTTTTGTATGATTATATTACTTTCATGGAGTTAAATTTTTTAATGATTATTGCTTGATATCGAATGGACATTTTTTTAGTGCTAGTATTAATCAATGAAGTAATTGTCAATATGTATGAGATTATTAGCACAGATAAACTTCAAAATTGAGATGTCTTTTTACTTTGTTACTTTAGATAAACTTCTATAATATTTTTTTGGGTACATGAATAAACTTCTATAATTTAATACTTGATAAATTATGTATGTTTAAAATAATATTTTTATAACCCCAATTTGGACCAGTTTATATAATTAATAATTTTGAAAAATTGACGAGATGATAGATGTTAGAAAAATCCATATAGAAATATATATATATCCTTTCAATATCATAAATTAATGTTTCATTAAAATAGAAATATAAAAAAATAGTAAATTTAAATTTAGGTAGAATTTATTTCATTATTTTTAAAAACTTTTGTCATTCTCAAATTGCAACAAACATTTTAAAGAGTTGTTGCTAAGAATATTTTCTTTCGCATGCTCGATGATAAATCATCTTTATATCTTTAACAAAATTTTCAATAAAACTAACCTTAATTTCTTTTAGGTTTTGGATTTTTGAATATTCATCATAGTTGATTGACATCCACTTATTTGTCGTAACTGATATTTATAATAATTTTTTCAAGCTCATGAATGTCTTCTCTATAATACTGTGCTTAGGTTATTGGTAAGAGTCTCTAGTCAGTGGTTTAGTTGACATCGGAAGGAAAAGTACATAAAATTTCTGTTTTGAATAGAATTCATAATTTTTTGTTCTTAAAAAATCTTAGAGAGATAGATCTAGAATCACTTTGAATTCTTGGTTGTTTGATAAAAATCTAAAATAGGGGTTGATGTGTGTGGACTCTTGGTGTTTTGAGTTTATGGGGGTGGAATTGGGTGATTCACTTGATTGGTTACATGTGGTTTGTGATGTCAAAACTAAGTTGTGAGTGTTGTAAACGTATGGTATGATGCTTTGCATGCTTGGATTGTCTGTATTTTATGTCTTGAAGGCAATTTTTGTGATTTGCAAGTGCAATTCTTTTTATATGACATTAGGTGTGCCTTCATGGCGTTGGGCACAGTTCCAACCAGAGAGTTTTGTCTCAATCGCGTCGGACGCAAGATCAGTGACGTCAGACGTGAAAAGAGAGACTCATCTTGGGTTGGGATGACATCAAGCATGATTTGAATAATGTTGGGCGTGAGAATAATGGGAAGTCTCTAACTTGGTGACGTTGAACACCACTGAGGTGACATCGAACGTGAGTTAGGTAGAGATTTTCTGCCTAATATAAGGTTGGACGTGGATTTTTCCATACTAGGCACAAGGTCCTGGGAGATCTTTAGCTCAGTCATGTCAGGCGTGATTTGGATGCGTTGGGCATGAGCGAGGTAAAGAGCCCCCTACCTCAATGTTGTTGGACATAAGGTAAGTTGCTTTGGGCGCGTGATGCTTGGATGTTCAGTGTGTTTTGGTGATGTATGTTGTATGATGATTGTTCTGCATATGCTGATTGGATATGACATAAGTAGATGGTTGTACAGTGTTGGATGATGGTGAATATATGTATGTTGTACATATGTATGGTGTATGATTTTGGAGAGCATAGATAGGTCATGTATGGATGTTGTTGTTGTTGATCTCTATATGCATTGGCTAAATGTTATGTATATAATAGATGTATGATTAGGTGTAGATGTTGAGATTGTAGTAAGACATCAAAGCATGTTGGCTAACTAAAGACTTGAGGAGAGAAAATTGTTTTGCAAACTGAAGATTCCACATAGGGAATCTTAGAGTGGTACTCGAGTAGACCATTATTGAAAAATCCTCATTGAGTAGGTATGTCTCTTGGAGTAGGTTTTTGAGGTGTATTGAGTCTCCTCTAGGTCCTTCGTTAATAGTTGAGTAAGATAGGAGGTCAAGGACTACAACCTTTGACCAAATACCTATAAATGTTGCGTGATTCCTTGAGGATGACTAGTGGGCTAAATCCAAGTGACTTGGTAAGGTTATGGTACACCTATACTTAGCTATGTCACTCCTAACGATGAAAGTATGCTTTTCTAGTGTAAGTGACAAGACTAGAGAAATCAGAGGATGGATTGGTATCCCATTTTGCAATGATCGAGCAAATGCTTTGGGTGCGAAAATAATTTGGTCAATTCGATAAGGTAAAGTCACTTAGATTGCTCATGTTATTAAGAGATCTCCGTAGATGAATGCGTTACGATGTATTAATTGAGGTATTTGCATATGATGTATGTTGTGGTATGTTCATAGGCATTGATGAATGTCTTGTTGGATATGACGTGGATGAGATACATGTTTCCTTTGGATTGTTTGGCTTGCATGTATGTCTTATTATGATGTTGTAGGTTATAAAATCATTTTACATGTTCTCAAACTCTAATTTATTCTTCTGTTTCCATTATAGTTTGAACTATGATGATCATATGTTATGTTAGAACAAATCAAAGCTAAGTTAGAAGAGTTACAGTTAGTAGGCAGTGTGATCTTTTGGTGATAATGATGTTATGTAAACTCACACGACACTAAGATATAAGATTATTTTAAGATTACTATATATATGCCTTTGACACATTTTCTCATATAATTTTAAATGTTCTAATAGGTTAGTTTTCATTATTAATAGTAATGATTCCAATTAATGTGACGATGAAGTCAGGTCGATACATTCTTCAAAAGTTTCACCCAAGTAAGTTTCATCAAATTTTGATAGCCAAAAGCTTTTTGTTATTATTTTTTTATTAAACATTTATCATCTAAGTGAAACTATTAAATAACCAAAAGAGAGAATTTCCGGTTCGAGAAATGTTAACAATTGGTAGAGCACAGCTAAGAAAGCAGAGGGTTCTGTTTGAGCTTGACTTCACAGCGTTATTAACAAAAAGGACTCACACTTCCATTTCATTATCGTCGTCTGACTCTGACATATTGAGAATATATACCAAAATCTTTTATTTGAAACCGACAGAAAGTTATATTAAGTCATGATCTACTTTGGAGTTTCGAGCATGAGTACTCTTGTTTGTTGAGTCATGGTAACTCTTTCTTTCTTGGAGGGTCAAAACATGTTTTGTCATCACTGGCCAAGAACATTATTAATCATGTTTTTAATGGATGTCATGCAAGTATTCCGTAAAAAATAAAAGACTAATCACAATCATAAAAATACATAATCTAAATATGAAATGGTTCTTTCACGGCCAACATAGAGCCATATTCTATACGACCCTACCTACTGAAAATCACATGCTCAAACTTCATTCGACATTTCTAATTAGTCAAATGAAACTACGCAATTCATATGAAGTACCAATACAAACTCCTGCATGAAATAAAGGGAAAGTATTGTCGTTATTTACAAATGTAGGGGAATGATCATAAGTCATAACATATCTAACTACTTCATTCAACGTTCCTCTGGAATGCTTTCTAAAGCTGGTCTCCAAGAATTTATGCTCCCACCATATTTTCCGATCTCACACACCCTTTTTTCTCTCAACACCATATCGCTTAGTAAATGCTCCAACGAAGTGTACTGAAGATCATTCTCATTCTTATTTCTCAACATCCTCTTCAATTCTTGCTTAGTCACCACCAGCCTAATCCTCACAGGACCACTTCTGGAATTACCATCACTTCCTCCTTCATTATCTTGCAATTCAAATCTCACCTTCTTCTTCAAGCAATCCTTTCGCTTTGCCGGTTCCAACTTGAACGATGAAAACACCTTCATCTCCTCAACTTTCTTCTTCCCTTCTTCATTCTCATCTTGTGCTGATACTTGGTTGTTTCTCATGCAGCAGTTCCACATGTTGTGGCAATGAATATTGAAGCATTTTAGGTTTTAACTCCACAAGACCAACATATATATATATATACACACACAAAGTGAGGAAGAGAAAGCACATGGAATATCCGGTTGTTACGCCGGGTTTTTGAAATAAAGAAAGGTGATTCTCTTGCTTGAAACCAACACCATGATGAATTGTGCTTTTGGATTCCAATTTGTTTTATACTATGAATATTTTACTAGTATATAAGCCGTTTGCTAACTTTGGTTCATTTGATTTTTGTAGAAGAAAGGATTATTTTAAGAATGCTACAATTTGGAGTTTACCGTGGCTTGTCACAGCATAATGAATAGAATAATGTGTTTAGATATAAGGATAGTCCAAAAAAAAGGGTTTAAACTCGAAATTGATGCCCTCTAATCACTGCTCAAAAAGAGGTACATCTCCTTCGGCAGGAAAGGTTATATATTGGCACCGCACGACAACGTTGAATACATCACTTTATTATTGGTCAATCTCCCATGGATTCAGTTGGGGGTCAATATTGGTAACCAATTTTAAATGGCCAGCCGTATTTTTTCATTACCTGTTGAAGCAAACTTGTACTTCAATTTCATCAAAAGAAGATGAACCAAACTTTGTCTTTGGATATGGTATAAATTAATGAGCAATACACCGAGAATAATCAACCTTGTAAATATGATTACTAGCCTTTTTAGTGTGCATGCACCAACCAAATTGTAATTTCCTTTTTTTTTTTATTTTTTATTTTATGACATACGCATAATTGAATTTACAATAAATTAAAGGAACGCTTGTCCTTCAAATTTAAATCCCAATAATTCATTTTGTTTTATCTAAAACCTCCAAGTTATACAAATAATACAGTGATTAACTGTTAATCATTCTAAAGATAATCAAGAGCTGTGTAGTTAAACAATTAAAATCAGACTGGATGGAAATACCAAATACCTACCTACAAAGTATTCGAACTACTAGGTAGTCAAATACCCATCACTGAATATTTGGATTCCAGATAGCATAATATCTACTACTGAGCTTTCAAACTACTAAGCAACCTGATTAATACCCATAACTGAGTATTTAGACCACTAGATAATCGAATATTCAACTGTTGATATTCAAATACCCTGTTCTTGATTGATCAACCAAGGACAATAAAATATCTTAAAAGGGTTCGAGTATTCGGATTGCCGAATAGCCAAAGATGACATCCCAAGCAGGTAATTGAACCAAAATATAAGAAGATAATCAAGCCTACCTGAATTCTCACTGCAAAGTGTGTTTTTAGCAACTTTGAAAAAATATTGTCAAATTATAAATAAATTTCACAAATATACTTTTGCGATATTTTATGAATTGTAAAATAAAATTTATATTACTAAAGTCTTTTAACAACATTTTTACATATTAATTGCATCATTTTAAAAAATTTATCAAAGTAATATTTTAAAACATTTTAATAATGTTACTAAGTTTTTGTAAATTTTATAAAATGATAATTTTTCATATAAATTGTACTACCACTAATAGTTTATGACTCCTGTTTACATATCTTTTAAGGTTGGAGACATCCTAAGTTAATCACCACCAATTCTATATTACATATTAAAGTTTATTTATCTCACTCTATGCTTGTATATATTGAGTAGTGTAATTCAAATATATGATCTGCATGTATCGTTTATATGTATGATTTGCAAGTTTAGTCTATACATATAGAGTTCGAAGGTTTAGTTTGTAGATATAGTCTAATGGTATAGTCTGTAGGTATCATTTGTATACCTTAATTTGTTAGTGTTATATGTTTGTATTATTTATTAATATACTCTATAAATACATGTTTGTATTACTACTCAATAATGAATGATAAGTAGTCATTTGTAATGAAAAAGTGTGAGAATAAAGTTTTTTCTTTACTCATTTTTCACTTTGTTATCTATCACGAGTACGAGCGTTTCTATGCATGTCATCTCCAACAAATTGGTATTAAGAGCTTGTTGATTGTAAGGGACCTATAGGTGGTGTGTGTGAAACTCATTAGATTGCAAGGTGTTTTTATTTTGAGAGAAACTTTTTGTGAGTTTCTTCTATCTATATGTGGATACTTTTACTTTCTTCCGTGGTGTTGGAAGAGTGAATCATGGACAGTTCTTATGAGATTTTGTTTGTTGGGTAGCATCAATTATCCCATGATGGAGTCCTAGGTGAGTTAAGTCATAGTCAACACGTTACACTTGGGCCACTACAGTTAAGTAAAAAGAGTTACGCACTAACTAACAACTATAACTTTTGGTCTAGTGATAAATGTTCGATCTAACAACAGGTATCAAAGCCAAGGTCACGTGCTCGATTCCCAATGGGAGCAATTACTGAGAGGGAGATTATTTATCTGATGTCATCAATTGTCCCGTGACGGAGGTCTAGGTGGATCAAGTCATAGTTAACAACTATAACTTTTGTCTTAATGGTAAGTGCTTAATCTAATAGATTTTCCCTGCCAACTTACTTATTTTTTCTTCTAAGAAGTGCTGGAAATTGTGAAGAATGATATTCAAGACATGGAAGAAGGTGCTATAGTGGCACAATAGGTAGCTTACAAAGAGTCCAAGAAGAAAGATTGTAAAGCTCTCTTCTTGATCCATCAATGTATGGATTCTGCAAATTTTGATAAAATTTGCTTAACTAGTTTCACAAAAAAAGCTTGAGATATTTTATGTAAAGTTTTTGGAGGTGTTCATAAAGTGAAGAAAGTGAAGCTTCAATCTCTTCAAAGACAATATGAATTATTATCTATGAATGATAGGAGTTTAGAGTTGATTATTTCAATTGAATTCAAGCCCTCGTTAATTCAGTAAAATCTTGTAATGAGAAGTTTACAAATCAATAGATTATAGACAAGATGTTGAGAACTTTGACTCCTTTTTTTAATCAATTGTGGTGGCAATTAAGGAATCCAAAGATATTCATGGGAGTTGTAGAACTTCCATGAAGCTTGTGAACAAAGGCTAAATGAAAAGAGAAATGGTGAAAAGATTAAAAAATAAATCTTGGCTCAAACTAACCACAAGAAGAAATGTGCAAGTGGCTGGAACAAGAGAGGAAAAGGCAAGTGAAAAGATGGTAAGAGTAGTGGAGTTGGTGACTCATCAAATGGTTAAGATTAGTGTCAAACTAACCATGATCAAAATGAGTCTTCAAATAGATGACATGGTGGTCTAGTTCAAAGAAATTGAAAAAAGAAAAAGTTTGACAAAAAAAAATCCTGACTATTTAAATATTAAAAAAATACTTACATTCACTACATGTGAATGTTTATTCGAAATCAATGTCAAATCCTTGTAAAAATCTTTGATCAACAAGTTAGATTTTATATGTCATAATCTCATCATTCTCATTTTGTTCTTGCACAAAAGAAATATGTTTAGGAACCTTTGGCCAATCATATCTTTATTTTCAATTCTTAATAGAATATAATTCTTAATCCTCGTTATTATTTAAACCACTAGCTTTACATTATATGCAAATATACTATCAACATTTTACTTTGATTTTATCATATTTTATTTATGAATAATTTGATATCTCTTTATTTTATAAATTTTAAATACTCGAATTTTTCTAAAACTTGTTAATTATGTAATAAAAAATATTTAAAATTTCTATATCCTTAATTCAACCATCTTATTTTTTAGTTCATTTTTTTAACCAATTTTTTTTATATTCTTGAAACCAATAAATTTATTACACTTCATATGTGTTTGAGATTCTTCACAATATTATGGAGAATTAATAAATACATATAACTTAATCATTTGTTTTGGCTAAATTTTTGTAAATAAATTATCCTTTTAGTTTGAAGGTAACGATGACTAATTTCATTTTCCAACTACTTGTTTATCCCCTGATATTAGAAAAACTAATTCAAAATGATGATCAAACACGTATATCTACCCAACACGTATTCTCAAACTTAAATAGAATCCACCATGACATGTTGTACTTGAACAGTTGAATTGAACATACACTACTACTAGAATTTCTTTTATTACATGCGACTTTTCCTGTGAATTTTTCATAAAAATTCGTAGGAAACGTTGTTCCTGCAAATTTTTTTGCAAAATTTTATCTGCAGATAATACTTTCGTGGATAATATATACTTGCAAATTTTAAAATTAGCAAGAAAGTTTCCTACAAAAAATTTTTTGTAGGAAAGTTTTTTACGAAAAAATTTCAAATGCTCACAATGAATTCATCCGAAGCATTTGTTTCCATGCCTCCAACATGTGATACATAATCTTTTAAATTCTAAGATTGTAGATTATAAGCCTAACACTCAACCATACAAATCAACTTGTAAGGTAAGTATTGCCCCAACTTATATACTCTTTAATTGCTTTATTTTCAATCGATGTGGGACTTGAAGTTTTTTTAAAATATTAAACTTATAAATTTAAATATTTTTTTATTTTTCTTGCGGATTAAAATTTGCAAGAAAATCTGCAGGAAAAGTTACCTGCAAATTTTTTCTTACCATTTAGTAAATATTACTTGCGAATTTATTTTTGCAAGAAAATCTGCAAGAAACAAAATAAAATTCTTACAATATTTTCTGCAAATTTTTACCATGGAAAAAAAAAATCGATGATTATTAAAATTGTAGCAAAATTTGTAAGAAATACCTATAAATTATTTTTCTCAAATAAATTTACAAAAAAATTTTGCGAATATTTATTTGTAGAAAAATTCGCAAAAAATTTATGTGAATATTTTCTTACAGGAAAATTCGCAAAAAAAATGATATTTTTTTAATAGTGATACGTCATAAATTCAAAAATTCTTAATTGATGAATATAAATGACAATAATGAATCCCTTAAAAAAAATGACAATAGTGAAGAATGACAGCCAAATATTCGTAACATTTTTCGATACAGTGATTAGATAATGTTTTTAATTTAATAATTAACATCAATTAATTAATTAAAATGATAAAATAAAAATATATATGCCCGTGAATACAAAAGGTGGATGACAGTGCTTCACCTTTTAATGATGTTATAATGTAAAGATGTGTTGTTTGATTAAGCATAAATGCAAGATAAGGTTGTGAGAGTAATAATAAGAAAGTGAATAATTAGCTAGTCGAAGAAAAATAAAATAATAAAAAATTAAAATATAAATTTTATATATTTCTTATGAATTAAATAATTAAAATTTTACTCACTTTTATTTCTCATATATTTTTTTGTTCTCAAACAAACGCGTAGCGAATGAATGGCTGTGATGTTACAGATGATTGTGGGAGACTGGTTGGTTATAGGATATGATATGACTGCATATAATATATATACACATGTTGGTGTTCTAGTTGGTGAGTGGGAACTAGCGGCGGCTACCGCCTAAGAAATCAAAATTGATAGGAGAAACTAGAAAGGGTTTCCGATTCCGATGGCTTCAGCGGAGAAACAACCACTCTTGGAGAATTCAGACTCAAAAGACGCCTCCGATGGGAAACTCGAGAGAATCCTAACCGATAACTCATTACCCTTGCTGAACCGCGTGGGAGCCGCCACGTGGATCGAGTTGAAGCTCCTCTTCTTCCTCGCCGCCCCCGCCGTCTTGGTCTACCTCATCAACTACGTCATGTCCATGTCCACGCAAATCTTCTCCGGCCACCTCGGCAACCTCGAACTGGCCGCCGCCTCGCTCGGCAACACCGGCATCCAAATCTTCGCCTACGGCCTCATGGTAAATATCATATCATATCCTACTCTACTCTTTTTTATTCAATTATCGCTGAATTTAACTAACTATGATTAATTAATTTCAGTTAGGCATGGGGAGTGCGGTTGAGACGCTATGCGGCCAAGCATTCGGTGCTCAGAAGTTCGACATGCTAGGCGTCTACATGCAACGCTCAACGATCCTCCTCTCCCTAGCGGGAATTCTTTTGACTATCATATACATTTTCAGCGAACCGATTTTGATATTTCTCGGGGAATCGCCGAGAATCGCTTCCGCCGCGGCGCTCTTCGTCTACGGTCTCATCCCTCAGATCTTCGCCTACGCCGTGAACTTCCCCATCCAGAAGTTCCTCCAGGCGCAGAGCATCGTGGCGCCCAGCGCCTACATCTCAGCCGCCACGCTGTTGCTCCACCTGGCGCTGAGTTGGGTGGCGGTGTACGAGATTGGGCTGGGCCTGCTGGGCGCCTCGCTCGTTCTCAGCCTCTCCTGGTGGATCATTGTCATAGCCCAGTTTGTTTATATTGTGAAGAGCGAGCGCTGCAGGCGCACGTGGCAGGGCTTCACGTGGCAAGCGTTCTCCGGGTTGCCCGGGTTTTTCAAGCTGTCCGCAGCCTCCGCGGTTATGCTGTGTTTGGAGACGTGGTATTTTCAGATTCTCGTTTTGCTCGCCGGGCTTCTCCCTCAACCTGAGTTGGCGCTCGATTCTCTTTCTATTTGGTAACTTCCTTATCTTAATCATTTTACCTTATAACCACATGCTTTTGAATATCTCTACCCTTCTCATACTTTCTTCATTCACCACCTTTTCCATTTAATTTTCTAGCTAGCCTTTGGGTTGACTGTTGAAAGTATATCAAAATCAAAGCATCAATTATTAAAAGATTACAAAAAGACGTAGACAAAATTCATTTGGCCATAAAAGTGTGATGTAAGCGTCTGCGTATGAATAGAAACGTGAAAAAATAGTATATATAAATATGGATGTTGATATGATATGGGTGTTGATCAAATGTCTAAAAAAAGAAAAAAAATATTCCTCGTAAGTAATTTATTTCAATAAACTATAAACATAGTTCACTAAGTATTAGTAATTTTTTCTAAATAATTCTTAAAGAAGTATGCTTTTAAGTATTGAATATACTTTTTTGAATTTAAATATAAAAAATCTAATGAATTGAGAATTTAAATATAAGTAAATTGTGATTACTTTTATTTCATTTAATAATATTATTTTAAAATATCATTCATTTAAATAATGATATTTTATTTTTAATTATTACTATCAAGTTTCAATGACGACGATATTAGAAAAAGATATAATTTTCAATTTGAAATTTATAAAATTAAATAATATTAATTAATTTTCTTAGTTAATCAAATTTTTTAAATTTCTCCTGAGACAATACATACATTTCTAATAATTTAAAGACCAAAGAATTAATTTAAAAATCTTTTAATATTTGAAGGAATTTGGTAATAAAATTAAAAGTTTATCAATTTATTTTAATACATATTATCTTCATTTCTATATATATATATATATAT